CTCAATTTACTTAAAAGGAGGGAACGAGTTAGTAAATTGTGTGCATGATTTAGTAAAACGAGAGAACGAATTATATTATACAATTTTTTTTTCCTGCATGTCATGTACGTGAGGCTCCGTACATAAGCCACTTTAAGCGTAAAAATATCCACTTCGATTACGGTGCGGTTGTCTTAGACGTATGGTGTTTATGACAAGTGAAATGTGAGAAAAAAATTTTTTTATGTTCAATATTAATATGCTTGTTAATAGTTTTTCCCCCTGTTTTGGGGCACATTTAATTAATAACCGCTGAAATATAGGTCTTCGGCAGCTTTTTGGCCGCTTCGTGTATCTGTACCGTAATACCACACACAGACTGCAGCAGAATCCAGGTGGCGGCTCACTTGATCGCGGTGCTAAATGCATAGCATTTTAATAAAACCGTTAACGTTACAGCAGCGGGGAATATGAACGCGCATGAATTATTTTATTTAGTCTGTGTTATTTTAAGGAAGATCTCCCGGTTCTTACTTGTGAATTCAGTTCACTGGAGACTCGCACTAAACGGTTCATCTGAATCAGTGAGTCGTTGACTCGAGAACAGCTGCATTCGGTTCATTCTGATTCGTCAATGAATCGTTTGGTGAGATTTACGAACCTATTTAAACGGTTCATTGAAAAAAATCAGTTCGTTCTTGAATCAGACGCCGCTTCTGCGGCTCAGAGCACGTGATATATTATAAGGAGTAACGATATGTTTTATGAAATGTAGTGAAGTAAAAAGTACGATCTTATACTTTGGAATGTAGTGAAGTAAAAGTAAAAGTTACTCAAAATAAAACGACTCCAGTAAAGTACCGATACTTGAAAAATGTACTTAAGTACAGTAACGAAGTAAAGCTACTCCGTTACTGTCCACCACTGATGGATAGATGCTCTGGCACATGCAAGGCCGAGGGCATTCTTGTTTGCCTTCCTGCTCAAATACTTTCTTGGGCCTTATTGTCTAAAAGTTTAGGAGGTAGAAGGTTTGACAGGGCCTCTTCTCTGTCAGAGAATTCTGACTCCTAAAGTGATTCTGACTCAAAATTCTGTCATCATTTTCTTACCTCATATTGTCCTTCGGGTTTGGAACAACATGAGGGTAAATGATGACATTTTAAATTTAAGGAGAACTAACCCTTTAAGGCGGTTTTGTTAAGGGCCTTAAGATCCCTCAAGAGGATTGGTGATTTGCAGTCCTTATCAGAGAGCTCATATTGTATGGATTTTGCTCCCGGTTTAGTTAAGACTACAGTGCAGTAATTCTTCTTCTGCCTTCCACATTATTCTAACATCTGGAGTAAGGCCGAGTTAATCCAGTTGCTAGGAAGACTGACTGGTATTGTATAAAATGACTGCTATTGTTCGTTGAACTAAATGTCTGAGGCAGTAGCTAGTGTGTTCTTAAAAGCAGACTGAAAATTATTTTCCAAACTTGTGAAGGTAGGAGCTTTATTTATTCTGCTAGTCATGAATGGCAGGTTCTACATACTAAGCTGGCTCATAAAAGTCATACTGCAAATCGAACAATAGCTAATGAGAAGACATTTGTCATTAAAGGCATTCAGAGTCAGGGCAGTTTCTAGCCAATTTGACGCCCTAGGCGAAATTCCTATTGCCCCCCTCCCTAAACAAAATATTTATATATATATATAACTCTTTTCAGACACCAGTTGCTTGTCAAATTCAAATTGGTTGTCATAGTAACGACACTAATTTGTGGAGATTCAGTGCATTGAGTTCCTCAAATCTGAATGCATTATTTGTAAATTGACTGTTAAGATAAACATTTTGCACAATTTAGTATCTTTAATAATATCATTGTGTTGCCACTAGATGCCTGTATAAGCCCTATGTAACAATCCCTAGTGGCTAAGACATTGCACATAATTTACACATACATTAATTTTATTACATTTTGATTTGGATATTATATACTATACTACTACATATTGTTTAGATATTATCAATGGCTACTTTTTTCTTTATCTGTTTTTTGTTCAATTTTTTTGTTGTTGTTTCTTGACACATTGATTTAAAGTGTCAGTTATTGCATTATTATTTCAGTCAAACCTATAAAACCCATTTGTTAACCCAAACTACATTTAAAAGCTTTATCAGTGGCATTAAAGTAACCAATGCAGCTACTTAATCATTCGTTAACGCATTAACGTCCCCTTTAAATAACGTGACGCCCTTCCCTCTGTGTATGACGCTGCTCGCATTAAGCGCTGTTGGAAGTGAATGAATTGATTCCGCATTTCGACACCTCCGTAAGAATGCATTTAACTCGACAAAGCGGTCTAATAAAGGATGTATTGATCTCGTAAATTAGCAAATTTTACTATACAAATATTTTTTAATTGGATGTTAAAGTTTATTTGGGAATATTACATGACACGCTGATCCTTTAACAATGCATTGGCGCAAAAAACGCACACCTTTTGGACAAATGTGCCACAAATACTGCCTAAACAAAATACTGATTTTGTGCACTTTATTTACTGTACCAATATTTTAAATTGGCCTTTGAACTTAGCTTTATTGCATGGCAAAAAAAAGTGTTACCTTGCCAAAGCACTGACAGAGCCCACTGATCTAATGGCGTTGTTGAGCGCTCCAAATGCAAACTTTGCATGCAACAATCAGGCAGCAATTGACAGCACTCTGATCTAGTGGCATACAGGCATCGTCAGATGGACAGTACTCTAGCCCAGTAATGTTGGGGGATCCAGTGGGGGCGGCAGTCATATTTCAGGGTGACCGTGCCACTCTTTATCACAACCCTGCTAAAAGTGCCAGTACGTGCGCTCATTGGCGCCCCTTCAGCTGGTGGCGCCCGCCTAGCTCGCCTATGCCTAGAAACGGCCCTTCAGAGTTGAAATGTGCACTTCTGTGTTAAAGCAACTCTTGTAGTTCTTTATACTAGGGGGCTTCACGTCTGGCATTACCTACATTTATATGGAGGGCAATAGTCTGTTTCTCAGTTTTCTTTTTTCTCCCGACAAGACAATATTACAATTAAGATGTTTATGAAAGATGTTTGATTCATATTCTTGTTCATAGAACCAGATTTGTACTGAATTCCACACAATATTGAAAAGTAATATATTCACATCTATTTTTATAGTTTAGCAGACATTTAATAATTATATATATATATATTTTTTTTTTTACAAGTTCACAAACAAAATGTGTCGTCAAATAGTTTGCTGTAGGATGATGGATTACGGTGTTTACATGACTTAATAACGTGACTAAAATACATCTCAATTAATTCATGCTTTTTCCAAATATACCATAAATGTATTTTTTAAATACCATCTTATTCATAGTCAGATTATTGCTTTCTATGTAAATGTAACCAATTTTAGGACCTTTGATTTTGTTTCAGTCAGAATAGAGCTGCCAATATTTATGCATTTGGACCATGTTCAGTTGTCCGAGAAAAAACATGACTTGTTCGGTCCAGTAAAGTTTTAACATCATCAGAAAAAAAAAGTGGTTCAAGTTATTATCTTCAAAAAGGTTTTAAATGGTTGTCTTAACATACATACTCTTGAAACTGGAGATTTGCAACTATTGAACCATCACCGTTATAATAAATACATTTTCAGTGCAACATGAATAAGTGATCATGTCCATGTATATAAACATCCTACTGTAAAGTGCCTACAAGCAACACAACATTATTACACATTCAAGGTAAAAAAGGTGCAAACATTTCTTAAGATGTATAAAAACAATCGATTTAAAAATTAAAATACATAAAAATGTATATCATGCATTTTGTTCTTCGGGACTTTACCCTTCTCAGACCTACATCTGGCAAGCTAAAATTCATATACATTAAATTATTGTCATTAATTTGTTTTACTTTATTTTTACAGTGCAGAAAATAAAAGTGCTTTATTCAGATTAGGTTGAAATGTACATATTGCATGTCCCTATGAAAGAAAAAGTACTGAAAGATAATCTGAGAGGTAAGAGGAGAGCAGACAGTTGGAACAGATATCTCCGTTTCATAAATCATGTTCTGTACATTTATATGTGCCGTTCAGTCTGTGTGTTGTGTATACTTGCATCCTAGGGTTTTACAGTCCTGCACTAGCAAAGCCAACCTGACTCTATATACTGTATATATATATATATATATAACTGTACATTTACACACCTGCTGATCTCCAAACCGATCTGAGCTGCCATGGTAGCGTGGCACAAGCACAGGAGAATAGTAGAAACTGGACCGTTTTTATTGTGTTTTCGTTATGTTAACAAATAGTTGTTTTCTTAGATTTAGCCTACTAAATATATATTTACAGAAATTCAGGGCATTATAGTCATAATAGAATCACATTTGTATATGCACCTTGTAAATGCTTTGGAAAGGAAGCATCTGTACATAGTAGTGAATCAGTCCCAATCCGAGAGCAACACACTTCATTTACGTCACGTCTGAACAGATAACTGGGGCGCAGTTTTGGCAGAACTACTTTATCCAGGCTGGAGGACGGAGATTCCTGTGATCAGGAGTTTCATCCAGCACTACAGATTCAATCTAGACTCTGACTTTACATCGACTGCTAACTACTAGCCGTGGACACATGAACGGACACGATTCTGGCCCACCAGGAAGTCTGTCTGCACTACACCAGCACAAACCTATCGATATCATCATTGCTGCTTATCGGGAATGCCCTGAAGTTTTTAATTGCATTGATCTGTTCGCGTAGTTCCTGTAATCCTCAACTCTAGCAGCAGGTCGCTGAACTTGTCTTGCTATATTTTCCGTGGCTACGTCTTGGTCACGAGGCAGTTTACGATCCCAAAGTTGTTATGACCAGTGACCGAGTATTTGTTCTTAAGGTGGCTAGTCGTTTTGTGTAGTGTACCGGATGTGTGCGCACGTGTTTCACGAAAATCTGTGTTCGTTTCGCTATGGTGCAACTAAAAGTGAAAGTGTGTGCTGGTGTGTGTGTGTGCGCGTTTCAGTTTTGAGGACCCTGGCCCCAGCCTCCTGCGCTCGGGGGACGACTCGGCTCTCCGCTCCCTGATTGGTCGAGTTCAGCACTGTCACAGTCCGAGTCCTCACACAACGCGCGAGTCTGGGAACAGGACAAAGAGCGTGATCAAACTCTTGGGACACATTATATATTGTCTAAACAAACACAGTCGCTAACAAAATCTTCAAACTGAAGGCAGGCTTCTTTAAGTCTGGTCCTGGAGGTCCTACAGAGTCTGCCTGCAAATCGCTTGAAGACCTAGTTCAGGTTTGTTTGCTCCAGCTAACTTCTGCAGGACAGTGGACCTCCGGAGCCAGCTCTGTAAAACCCTGCAACAATTTGTTTTTCTCAGGGCGATATGTGTTGTAAGGATTCTCTCAATACTGGTACCTCCAGGATATTTTGTTCCAGGTCAAAGTTGGCCCTCTCCTGTTCGAGGGCAGCGGCCTCTCGTTCGGACAGAGTAGGGTCTGTGATATCAACAGGGATCTCAGACCCCTGGGAGATGAGGTCATCGCTGCGATCATCCAGCCGCTCGTCGGTGTTGGTGCTGACCACGTCTGGCGTGCCGCTGTGGGAGTGGTCAGTGGTGTGGCCCTCCTCTCCCTCGGACACGGACAGGTTCTCGGAGCTGAAAGTGGATACTGATTGGCACTTGGTTATACTGGTCGGCCGTCTGCAAAATGGACATTAGAGAACATGCAACCCATTAAACAAGGATATATTCAAATTAGGACTGTCAAAAATACCGGGTTGCACTTAGGAACGGGATGTTCCTGCTCGTAATACTGCAATACTACAATAAGAACACAGTATGTATGTGTGGAACGGGACTGTAAAATAAAGTGGTTCCCTTGGCTTCATGGGATAGTAAAGTGTCCATCGAATGTGCAAGTAGTCTGTCATCCAAGTACGTTATCCAGGAACTGGGCTGGGAGACACTGACCTAGCAAGATGCCATAACTGAGCACTTTAGCATGTGTGCTACGACTCTTATAAGCAACCAGGCATGCAATGCTCACCCAGTGGGTGAAAACAAGACCTTATTTTATTATGTGTTTAGTAGTGCTGCTTCACATAAATAAAGCAACTCCAAACTACTTTAGTTCACACCGAAATTATTTCAGAAAGAATAAATAATTGTACTCTTACCGTCTCCTTGGTAAGTCCACCTCACTGTCCACCTCGCCCTCTTCTTCTTCTGAGGAAACGCCACGTCGCTGGTGGAATTCAACACAATTCGTTCAAGCATGCTTAATGATTAAGGCCCAAAACAACACTGCAAAAATAACACACGTAAATTTCTCATTTGTCTATTTTAACTATCTTTACCATTTACAGTTTTGCTGTGTTTGTTTTTATTTGCGACAAACCTGCATTATTTCTAAATGAAAGTCCTAAATGCACTCATGTAAGCTATAATGGGCTCTTCCTTTAAAGCAGCGGTTCTCAATTCCAGTCTTCACGTACCACCGCTCTGCTCATGTTTCTCATCACTTCAGAGGTTTGTTCTATTCGACCGCAAGTGCCCTGTGAAGTGGACATCACATGATATTCTGCCATGATTCCAGTTTGAAGGGAGCATATATGTTCCATTCAGAGGGCAAAGACAATTACAATTATTTATATTAAGTCACATTTCACATTTGTCTAGTAAGTTTCGTCTATGTGTGAAGACGCTGCAGGCCGTGGCATAGCACAGTTTCATGAATGAATGTTCCGAAGGGAAGTAAACTTCAGTGGATTTCCCGTGCTCAGGGAGTAGGGAGCAGTGAACACTGTGTAGGGAGCATGCCAATCGGAACACAGTTCATGCACGGAGCTCTCTTCTAACGAGCTAGTTATCTGAATCAGGTGTATTAAATAAGAGAGATATGCAAAATATGCAGAGCGGGGGGTCGCCAGGACTGGAATTGAGAACCACTGCTTTAAACTACTAAATGTTTGATCATGTGACATGTGCGTCATGTGGTAACATGTAAACTGATAGGTTTTACTCAAGTCAAATAATCCGGGAAATCAGCTGACTCGACAGTTTAAGTTGGGTCTGCTCTTTTTTAGATTCGTTTATCAATGGGCTGGTCTAGTTAACATTGCCATGTCACACTCTTAGATACAGGGTTGCCACTGTTTTCCCACTGTATTGGGCTACTTTTAAACTGTTGCGGGTTGATTGTGGGTTATGGGCGGTTCAGACTACACAATTTTTAGTTGGTTATGACAGTCACCGTGTCAGATTATGCGATTTTGACTCCTAAAATCTTGTTGTGTTGTGAAGAAGAAACATGTCAGACTAGGGGTGTGCCATATCATACCATCCACGATAATACCGGTATACATTTTTACATGACAAGTCATATCTCGATATAAATGATATAGCGATGCGATGACATATGGCGCATTTACGTTCCCTAGCGCGCACAACAACAACACCACCACAAACCCAATAGGTGTGTTCAACTTGAAGCAGCGCTGCACAGACTGATCAGTGTATGACATCAAAGTATCGCGAGAGCGGTTCTAGAGCACATTCGAGCGCACACTCTTACCGTCAAAAATATGCGAGGCGCCTATCTTTAGCGAAGTGCCGCGGCTCCGCTGGTGTAAACACAAGCATTGACTAGAGTGGCCACGTCGGAGCCGTAACGTGCAGCAGACGCGTGCAGTGTAAATTAAGAGAAGGTGCCTTGAGCGTAAACAAAAAATGGCTAGCAAACAGCGTGTTTTGCTCTGTCTTGTCGTCAGAAAAGCCCCAAAAAAGCAAAGAAAACCTGACAAAAAAATAAAACATGCTAGATGTGGTGATGTCGTGAAGCGTCGCAGATGTGGAATTGAGATGAAACCATTGAATTTTGCGTCCCGACAGCCATTGTCATTTACGAATCCCCATGACACCCTATGTAAAGCAGATCGGGCTAAAAATGTGTAGTCTGAACCAGGCTTTAATGGTTTGACATAAGGCAATACATAATCAGTCAGTTCAGTGTGGATGCATATATATACAAAGAAATCTATACTGAAAACCCTGACGATGAAAATGAAAACTCGGGAATAGAGAGATGCGCACCTGTTTGCGTGTGATCGCAGCTCGATACAGTATGGCTGATGGAGTCAGATGACTGCCGCTGGATCCTCTGGGTAATCGCACCGCCCCGCTTCCCTCTTCTCTCTCCTCTCCTACATGAGTTCGGCCCACCGCTCCACTTCGGCCACAGCAGGGTGAATCAGGGCTGCTGGAGAAGGGCAGTGAAGCGGCGTCTTCACTCGCCGTGTCGCTTCTGGGTAGAGTCTCGTCCAGACCGGCCCCCGCTTCAGCTCCACCGCCGGGCTCTCTGCCCAGGGCTTCGGTCGTGGCAGCTCCACTGACTCCGTCTTCAGCGCGGCGGGTGGAGCAGAGCAGATCTGGGCTGGATGAGGACAGCTTCAGCGGGGGCGGCTCCAGCTGGCCCTCCCTCATCACGGCTCCTGAAGCAGTTTCAGTGATGGGCGGCGCGGGTGTCGTTGTGTTGGGCAGCGGAGGCTCTCTTTTTTGGCTAGCAGGGGCAGAAGGGTGCTTAGGCCCTGACAGATCCCCGCTGCTTCCCTTGCCGCTCCTCCGGTGACGAGTTTTCACCCTGCGGGCCCTAGGTGAGGTAGGCCCTCGGTTTGCACATGGCGGGACAGTAGCAGCATTAGCACTTCATGGTGTTATAAATGAAGATATCAGAAGCTGAACTTTAATAATCTCAAAGTGAGGAGCCCTTTCCATAAATAGGGCACAAAATAGGGCCTAAACATGGGAGAGCTTGCCTGGCCTGAACACGGAAAGGACAGATTAAGAGCTCTTTCTCGATTTCTTTTTCTCTGTGGTGATTCATGACTGTTTATAGCCGGTTTATTCCGATAATACACAAGACATCATTGCTACGGTAAATACAGTATGTTTCTTCACTGTTTTTTATGAAGGGGGGCCAGTCTTTTCAATGTGATAAGTCAATCTCTTTTTTTGAGGTGGAATATTCTCACAATTGCAGTCGTATTTCTCTCTCTCTCGCTTTCCATAAATAGGGCACAAAATAGGGCCTAAACATGGGAGAGCTCACCTGGCCTGAACACGGAAAGGACAGATTAAGAGCTCTTTCTCGATTTCTTTTTCTCTGTGGTGATTCATGACTGTTTATAGCCGGTTTATTCCGATAATACACAAGACATCATTGCTACGGTAAATACAGTACGTTTCTTCACTGTTTTTTATGAAGGGGGGCCAGTCTTTTCAATGTGATAAGTCAATCTCTTTTTTTGAGGTGGAATATTCTCACAATTGCAGTCTTATTTCTCTCTCTCTCGCTCTCTCTCTCTCTCTCTGAAGTGGCCAAGAGCAGTGTGATCTGGCCTGGCAACTGTGTGCTGAGCTACAAAATACTATTTCAAAGCGCCATCTAGTGGATATTGAGCGACACACAACAAATGTATCTAATTTCCAATAAGCATATCTCTGTTTTTGACAGAAAGCATGAAAAAGCACCTTTTTAAAGGCAGCATCTGTACGCACTGTATGTGGCAATATCGATACTAGAACCTAGGGCCCTTGTCCGACAGCTTTTCTCAGCTGTCCCAATTCTCAGCCCGAGTCCGACTGGAGCCCATGACTGTTTTTTTTTCTCCTCCCCTTTACACAGCCTACTGATGCAGCCATTAGTTCAGTTCTGTTTTTAATGGCAAAGTGGTTATATTTTTTTAAATTTCTTTATTAAGGTAATTTAGAAAAAAAGTTTGGAGCATTTTTTGTTAGTTTTTTAAAGTGACGACCCAGCGGCCGACAGTGAGTTTACCGGATTTTTACCACACTTCAAGCATATCACATTATTAGTTTTAAACATTTAACCTAGATAAATGTGCGCTGTCAGGTGCATATCCAAGTGTTTGTGCGGAGAGTGGAAGCTAAAGTGAGTTTAATGCACAGAGGCACCAGCGCAATCACTTATATTTTTTTCCCTAACAGTGGAATCAACTTAATCATCTGTAATTTTTGCTCATACAGATAAGAGTAATACATCATGCGAAACTGTAAAGTCTACTTTTATTTGTGTGCACTCACAATGACAAATCATTGTGCTTTAGTAAAATAAAGAAAACAAACAGGATGCGCTTTCTGCCGTCTCGGTCTCTGTTAACTGTGGAGCACGTCACAAAAATGAATGGAAAGTCAGTGTGTGGGCTACTTGCCTCATAAACATGAGAAATATATAAAGCTCGAAATGTCTACTTTTTTTTTTTTCTCCTCCCCTTTACACAGCCTACTGATGCAGCCATTAGTTCAGTTCTGTTTTTAATGGCAAAGTGGTTATATTTTTTTTTATTTCTTTATTAAGGTAATTTAGAAGAAAAGTTTGGAGCATTTTTTGTTAGTTTTTTAAAGTGACGACCCAGCGGCCGACAGTGAGTTTACCGGATTTTTACCACACTTCAAGCATATCACATTATTAGTTTTAAACATTTAACCTAGATAAATGTGCGCTGTCAGGTGCATATCGAAGTGTTTGTGCGGAGAGTGGAAGCTAAAGTGAGCTTAATGCACAGAGGCACCAGCGCAATCACTTATATTTTTTTCCCTAACAGTGGAATCAACTTAATCATCTGTAATTTTTGCTCATACAGATAAGAGTAATACATCATGCGAAACTGTAAAGTCTACTTTTATTTGTGTGCACTCACAATGACAAATCATTGTGCTTTAGTAAAATAAAGAAAACAAACAGGATGCGCTTTCTGCCGTCTCGGTCTCTGTTAACTGTGGAGCACGTCACAAAAATGAATGGAAAGTCAGTGTGTGGGCTACTTGCCTCATAAACATGAGAAATATATAAAGCTCGAAATGTCTACTTTAAAACGAAGCAATTCAATCGAAACAAAATCTCTCTCTTTATGTAATCCGACCATGTGAAAGGTGCATTACGGAGATGGCGAGTCAGCATCGTCTACTTTATCTATGCAGCCCGACACTGACCCAGAAAACAGTAATTTCTTAATAAATAATTAAAATATCTCATTGCTATTTTTCCCGACACATACAGGTTTGGAAAACCATGAGTGTGCGTGAATGATGACAATATTCAATTTTTTTATAGTTGTACTCTAAAATAAAATATTTAATTAAAAACAGTATAAAATCTTTATTATTAGATATATCTTGTTTGGTTTAACCAGTGTTTTATGTGTATGTTATAGGAGTATATACTGAATGTGTGTTTTACCTGAGCAGCTCTTTCTCTTTGAGCTCCAGCTGCAGCATCACGGCGTTGAGCTCCATGTACAGATTGTTGGCTCTCTCTAGCTTTCTCTCGTAGTGATCTCTGATGTCAAGAGCATGCCTGTTAAAAGGAGTCAGATGTCATGCTCAGTAACAACCCTTTAAAGGACACAAGGACACACTGCAAATGTCCACTGCTTTATTTCTTCTCTCTTTCTCACAACACAGTTGCTGTGTAAATAAATACACAACGTATAACCTCATCAAATATGCTATTTTGGTGGAGTTCTACAGGAGACTGAACGTGTCAGTAAAAAAAAAAAGGTTTCTGTGATTAATTACAATACATTAATTTTCAACACTTTAATTTTAGTGTCCTTGTTACATGTTCCATGTACTTACTACAGTAATAACAGTAAATTATGCATGATTACATGCAACTAACCCTAAAGCAATCGCTAATCCTAACCCAGTGCTTTCTTAGAGAAGTACACTGTAAGTACAGGTAAGTGCACATACTGTAAAATAAAGAGCAAACCAAATTCAGAGTTGAGTTTTTGAGTTGAGTTAGCTGGGCTCTATTAATGGTTTTGGCAGGACAGCGTTTTGTGCATGTGTCTGTTGCTGACCTGAGTTCCTCTCGTCGCCGGTTGATCAGCTCTTCATCCAGACGGTGAAGACACGTGCCCTCTGACTTGATCTTCTCAAAGTGTTGCTTGACCTCCTCACGCCACTCGGCCTGCACACACATACAGAGATGCACAATTCTGGATCTCAAATCATCAGCAGTCACTATCTTTGGCTTTAACAACACTGTTGAAATGGCCAGAGATGTGGCACTCACTTTTGTCCTTTCTATTGATTTCTTCAAAAATGCAACTCAGTGGCTTGAATATGATGAGCATGTTTTTAATTTCTGATGTAAAATGTTTTATATTATTAAAGCAGGAAGTCAAAAGGAAATTTTTTTTATTGCATGACAAGACAAGTTTAGTTCAGATTGTTAAATGACATGTTGTGACACCCCAAAAACATGAATTAGTCAAAATAACGATTAAGCTGTGAACTCTCACATGGAATAAAAATGTCAGGGAAATATGTTATTACCTTTAACTTAGAGTCATTAAACCTTCCTTGAAAATGGTTTTTAAACTGCATTTCTGGGAACTAGATTTTGAATATATTTTGTCTTGTTGCATTTCTAGGCAAACAAAAGTACATACTTTACGTTTCGCCACACATGACGTTCAGAGCTGAATGAACGTCTCACCTGAGATTTGAAGTAGGTCTCCTGCGGGGTGGAGAGCACGTCTGCAGACGCGATGTCCAGATGCAGCAGAATCTGCCTGAACGACGGCCTGCTCCTGGGTTTGCAGTTCCTACACACACATGTTAGCATTACAAGAGCCACCTAGAAGTTATTACCAGTCAGTTAAATAATCTCTGCTTATTGCATCTTCTCCTTGTCATTTTGCAGAGAAAAGAAAAGTGTTTTTTCTTTCACTTTAGCATACTTTTAAAAAGAGCTCATTAAGGAAAGAATACACTTTTAGTGTCAAATGAATGTAATGTTTTAAGACACCGAATTGAATCTAAAATGCCATTAAATGTATTGTACTGTAAATTTATATTACATGCATTTGGCTGAACTTTAGTGTTTTTGACCCACTTAAATACTTCAGTACATCTTTACATATAATTTCATAATTACTGCTATGGTCTGTAAAATATGGTTAAAGTGTTACTGCCGAATGTACTGACAAATCATTTATTGAAAACTAAAATACATTTTAATGTCATTTCTATTGAAAAGTGTATGTCATGTTTTTTAAATATGTGACCCTAGACCACAAAACCTTAAAAGTCTTAAGTGTAAATTTTCGAAATTGAGATTTCTGAATAAATAAGCTTTCCATTGATGTGTGGTTTGTTAGGATCGGACAATATTTGGCTGAGATGCAACTATTAGAAAATCTGGAATCTGAGGGAGCAAACAAATCTAAATATTGAGAAAATCATCTTTAAAGTTGTTCAAATGAAGTTCTTAGCAATGCATATTACTAATCAAACATTAAGTTTTGATATATTTACGGTAGGAGATTTACTAAATATCTTCATGGAACATGATCTTTACTTAATATCCTAATGATTTTTGGCATAAAAGAGAAATGTATAATTGTGACCCGTACAATGTATTGTTGGCTATTGCTACAAACATTCCCGTGCAACTTAAGACTGCTTTTGTGCTGCAGGGTCACATATATTTGTAATTTGAGATTTTTAGTGAGGAAGTTGCAATTCAATACATTTTCAATATATAAACTTTGAATGTACTATTAAATAACACACTACAATTACAGCTAGAATCCACTACTTTACATGTGCTTTAGTCAACACATCAAAATGAGTGTACACGACAAAAGATTATTAAAACAGAATGATTTAAAATGAACTTTAAGCTAAAACGTTTAATCTGACATTATTACAAACTGCACTTTTTCAAAGTCTACTTAAGTGTGTTAAGAAACACAGTCACGACAGTACATCTCTCTGTAAGTTCACTTAAGTGGCTTTTCATGACATTCAAATTATATGATCTGCAATACAGCTAAAATTCTTTCTTGGTTTCTCACCAGCACTGTCTGAGCAGGATTTTGAAGCCATCAGGGCAGCTTTCAGGAAGAGGCAGCTGCAGGCTGTTGTTTCCCACGCCCCAGACGTCAAAAAAATCAAATGTCATAAATCAAATACAATATATAAATATACATACAAAGTTCACAAAGTGAAAGAGGTTAGCATGAGCTGCTGTTGTTTTATTGCAGCCTTTTAAACTGAATTTGGATTCTCAGAAGCAGAGTTGGAAATTGCTGGGGCTTGTTGGCAAAAATGCCACCAAAATTAATAATAATGCCACCAAATTATTATTATAACATAAGATATAGTTAATGATAATCATATGAGCAAGAGTGCTGTTTTCTCTGAATATCCACACAATTGCAAATGTGATATTGATTTTATACAACAGTTCAATAAACGACAATATTGTGCACTTTTGCTCCATTTCCTTTACAAACATAGCTCTAAACAAAGTCACAGCTGAGCCGCTGAACGTCTCCGAGCAAAACACAGCAGTGCTTCATGATATAAATTTAAGAATTTGACAAAGATGACACATTTAATAAGGTTGATTAAAATGCCATTACAATGGAAATAAATAAGTACAAGTTTCACAATTTGAGTTGAATTACTGAAATAAATGAACTTTTCCACGACATTCTTATTTATTGAGATGCACCTGTGTATTATATAAGAAAAAAAACCCTGATTGCAGATCAAGGATGTGTGACATGAGAAAATGTTTTTTTTATATGTGAGGTAATAAAAGAGCAATTCCAGCAATTTACGGACATGACATTTGCAGTCCAAATTTGAAATAGAAATTCTCATAGAATATATTCATTACCAATATATTGAAACATCTGTATATATTTTCCTGAACGCCTGGCAATAGAGTTCAGACATCAGAAAAATGTCAGTCTATAAAAGTGTTTTATCTTTTTAGATGAGGGAAATACACATGCGTTATGGACATGATAAAAAAGTTTTTGGGAAACAACATATATTATACACTTTCTGTGAATGACAATGCACAAACCAGAAGCAACAATATCTGCCGAATGGAGAAGGGTCGGCTCTTTACAGAGCATAAAATATACTGTATATCTATTCTATTTTGATTTTTGTTTTCACATTTTGACATTCTGAAAGCAGAATTCATCCAACTATGGGTATAAACCTGGACCTATATATCTCTAACTGCTGCAATAGCATAAAACTCTCCTGATATTTTAATAATAATTACAAAAGAACAAAATAAGGCATATTTCGTTACCTTTTGAAACTTGGAAGGGTTCAATTTGAGCAGATGATTTTACCATCAGTGTCATCGTCAGAGAGCACTTCCCCAGTACATTCAGCATCTGCTCATATGTGTGATCTCAACCATATTCTCAAAACTATCGTTTTCAATGACTTCAAAATCAATATTTTGATAGCTGGCAGCTTATTCACCACATGCACCATCAAATGACAGTGACATTTATATTTAATTATGTACAGTAATTGCTCTGCAGTAAAGCCATTCAAGCCAGTTCAGTTTTTGCTGATGATATTCTTTGGGTATATGTCTGTCATAATTATGAGTGAAACCTCATGTCATCGTTGTCTACCAAACAGTGCCACCTTGAGGAATAAAGGTGAATTGCACTTATTGAGTTGTCAGATGTTTAATTATTGTTGCACAGGAAAAATATACTTACATTATTACATACCTCGGGTCGCTAGTGACCCTATAAACTTTATATAAAATAATTAATCAGAAAACAGACATTCTTTTAGAATTTTGTTCTTGTCATATTATTTATAATGAATAGATTGAGGAATACTAAGAAAGTTGATGACTAACTTTAAAAAATGAAGGAAAGGGTAGTGAATGACGTCCCATTTCACTAAAGTTGCATTTAAGGATTAACAGAGACCTCTGCTGTGTATTTAAACTTTGGCCTCTCAGTTAATTAACTTACTCCATAACCATTTGCATTACAATTTTAGTTTTATGTATAGCATGTGATTATACAGCATGTAATCACACCATCTCTCAGGCTGTTAAGACCCACATTAAAATAATTTCACATCAGTCTACAGCAGAGACAGATTCAGTTATAACCTAAACATTGATTTGACGCTTTTAAATGATCCAATAGACCCATGCCGCTCCAATTTATTGTTGATCAAGATCATTTAAATGGGTGGCTGTCACGAAAACTTGTTTTAATGACACAAACATGCATTAAATAATTAAGATACAAAACAGGTTAAATAAAAATATTCTGAATATATAATATAGTGCAAATATTTATAAGAAATGCTCCTCTCCAGAGTTATTTATGGACACTGAATGGCTCTCCTGAGGTGAGCTATGTGACACTGGCTGTACAAGCTGGTTATGATTTCTCTCTGTGGCTGAATCACTGAGATGTGATACATTTCAGTAAGTTTTTCTGTTTCTTTCAACACATCTTCTGATGTTCATTCATGTTTATTTCATGCTATAACTAGTAGTAAAGAGGAAGAGATCAGTCATGTGCGTGCCGGACAGCTGCTTGAACTGAGGCGCGACGATCTGTCATCCCACATTAAAGAGCGTCAAAATTCCTTTTTACGGTTATAAGATGGAAGGCGTGCTATGATTTAGTGAAGTTTTATAGCACATAGGGTTGCAAAATTCTGGGAATTTTCAAGGCTGGAAACTTTCCATGGGAATTAATGGGAATAAACTGGGAATTTGCTAAATTGCAGGTTAGCTTATAACAGGGTACTTAAATGTAATTGAAAAAAATATTTTGCTGCATAATTTTGGTTAAAACAACCAGATTTAATGTAATTTTCTACCCTAAATATTCACACAGCACTGCTATTGAGGCCACACCTCCACATGTCAGTGGAGATCAGGACAACTAGATGAGCCCCAGATACATATCCCCAGTAAAGACTTTGTCTCAGACGGCCACCGGGACAAGACCACAGGAACCAGTTGAGTCCTCTGCACAATGTGACTTTGCTGCAGCATGGAACTGAACTGCTGGTTTGGTCTGGCCAGAGGAGAACTGGCCCCACGACTGAGCCTGGTTTCTCCCAAGGTTTTTTCTCCATTCTGTCACCGATGGAGTTTTGGTTCCTCTGGCTTGCTTAGTTGGGGACACTTAATATCCAGCGATATCGTTGACTTGATTGCAAATGATAGCACAGAGACTATTTAAACTGAACTGAGCTGGATGATGACATCACTGAATTCAATGACGAACTGCCTTTAACTGAAAATTGAGTGTTTACTATTATCATTTTGCATTATTGACACACTATTTTCCTATATGATACTGTAAAGCTGCTTTGACACAATCTGTATCGTTAAAAGCGCTATATAAATAAAGGTGAATTGACTTGACATGCACTGTGCATTCCTCCATGCACCGATAATTTCTTGAATCCTGCACACAAAATAATTTTTAAAATGTCCATCACGGTGAGAAGTCATGTAAATTACATAAATTTATGTTTAAAGGGGTCATATGATGCAATTTCAATTCTTCCTTTCTCTTTGGAGTGTTACAAGCTCTTGGTGCATAAAGAAGATCTGTAAAGTTGCAAAGACTAAAGTCTCAAATCCAAAGAGATATTCTTTATAAAAGTTCAGAGTCAGCAACACCTACCTAAAACGCCTCGTTCTAACATGCCCCACATATCTACCTCACTATGTGGGAAGATTTGCATAACGCTGCCTAAATGTTCACGCAAAGAAAGAAGGTGTAACTTTTATTCTCGCTGTAGTATTGTTGCCGTCGCCATGTCGTGAAGAGCTGTGTGCTTCGTTGTGAAAGCGAAACTACTTTGTTTGGTCTTCCAAAAGAGGATGATATCCGCTTCGTCATGCCTGGAGCTGATCCGTGCTGATCGCTGAGGAAATACATCAACTTTCACCGAGGACAAAGCAGAGTCCAGCCCGGGGTCATCACATGTGGTTGCCGCTCATTCGTCGCATCCGCCGGGCGCGCCGTTCTCGACCCCGCCGCCTCAGCTCACGCTAGCCCGGCCTCAGCGCACGTTAAGCCGGGGCTTCCCCTCATGCTAGGCCGCTGTGTGCTTCGTTGTGAAAGCGAAACTACTTTGTTTGGTCTTCCAAAAGAGGACACAACTACAAATCAGTGGTTAAGTTAAGTATTATTAACTTGGTTAAGTATTTACAACACTGTTCCAGAACAGTTTAACCCAAATATCCAGATGTGTGCAGCACATTTTATGGAGGACTGTGTCCTGATCCTGGGGGAGTAACGTTAGGCAGTTCTGACTCACAGCCTGTAAGTAAGTTTTCATTTAAAGAATTTGCCACTGATGATTCTAACGCGAGTTTTGAGCAGTGTAGAGTAGCACTTGTTGTTTGTCATTTCTCTGATCACAAATGCAGACAGAGTTTTATGTTTACGCGGCGCGATGCAACGCAAAGCGTAAAAACACAATATAAGTCATTATAATCCGTAATTATGTCCCCACTGGATGCAACAAATGCCTCGTTTATAATGGGTTTTAATGTTTTTGTCTCGTCGCTCCGGCCTGACAGGGCATCACAGTATGGTTAGGGGCATAACATTTCCGTCACACGCTTGAGGTATTCGGCCAATCACAACGCACTGGATAGCTGGCCAATCAGAGCACACCTCACTTTTCAGAACGATGAGCTTTGTAGAAATTGACACATTTCAAAAAGGCGGGGCATAGAGGAGAAACAATGATGTACAGTATGTGGCAAATAATGTTTTTTTTTAACCTTAAACCGCATAAACACATTTCATTACACCAAATACACAAAATAATGTTTTTTTTAGCAGCATCATATGACCCCTTTAAAACTTTCTTGTGCTGTGTGTAAGCTATTGTGCACCAAAAATTTACCATTGTATAAACAAATACACTGACTTAGCAAACCTTTAGGTGAGATAATAATAAAATAAAATATCTAAATCTAAGAAAAGACATTCCCCCACATACAATCCCTCTTAAGGGAGAATTCACCCCCCCCTGCCCCCTCCCAGGCTCTGACTATCACAAAAATATTGAAGCCACACCCTACCTCTCTAAGAGAGAAAAAAAAACAAGAACACCACACTGAAGCGCCCCAGCATCACT